GAGAGGGCTTGAGAAGGCACAATGAAAGGGGGTGGTGGTAGAACTGGGACTTGAAGGAAGTTCAGGGAGCTCAGAAGAGCCACTTCGGATATGTTAGGAAGAGTCACTGAAGAATATGGGCTATGAGTATAGACTCAGGAGCCATGCTGCCTGGGTTTGAACATCAGCATTGCCATTCAGTACCTGTGTGACTCTAGGGCAGGTCATTTAACATTTCTGTGCTGCAGTTTCCTCATCTGTCAAGTTGGGGTAATGATAAAGCCTTTGTCATTGGCTTGTTGTTAAGGTTAAGTGAGCTCCTACATATAAAGTGTTTAGGATAAAATCGGGCATAAAGCAGTTCCTGTTAATATAAAATCTTCCTCCCCAAGACGCAACCCTTGAAACAAGGATTCAAGTGCAAATAGTGCATTTGGGAGGTGGTCCCAGGAAACATGGGTAGGGGAGTGGGAAGGTGGGATAGGGAAGGCAGGCAGTCAATAAAAGGTATGTTATCAAGTGAGTTTACCATTGTGGGTTAATGGAGATTAGTCCCTCTGAGAACCCCTGAAAGTGGTGCAGAACATGAACATCAGAGTAATCTCAGAGTGGGAAGCAAGAGAGCCGGGGTATTTACACATCCATTCCATGCAGTCACAGGTTGAAGGCTGCTTTTGGGAGGGCCTTAGTTCTCTGGCATTTTCAGCTTTCTGTGCACAGGTGGATCATAACACAGAGAAAACCTCAAGCAAAGAGACAGAGATGCTGCTATTGGAAGACAGCGGCACTCTCCAATGTTAAGGTCCAAAGGGGTTGAGTGGGGCAAGGATAGACCCACTAGGAAAATAAACAGCCTCTGTGAGTAATGAGGAATCCTCAGCTAGTCTGTGAACCAGGCCAGTCAGCCTAGTTTCCAAAACTGGGGTTTGATCTGGAAATGGTAGTCAGCTCTGAAGTTGCCATGGGAGGCTGAGGGTGGCAGATCCTAGGATGTCAGTTAAGTCCCTGTGTACGAAAAGTAGACTGCCAAATGGAGACTACATCACCGTGGCCCCACCTGTCTTATCTGCTAGCTACTTTTCCTATGAAATTTTCGGTTGCAAGGTGCTGAACTTCCCATGGGAGTGGTAAGGCATCCTGAGAAGCCATCGCATTATCATTTCCTTTTCTTAACCTGTGAGTAGGGGATGAGTTGCAGAATAAAATGTGTTGATTTATTTTCTTTGAAAGTAGACATTAGAAGCCTTGAATTGATGAGAAAAAATTTAGACAAGAGGTAAGAAGCTGGCAAGAGTGGAAGGTCTGTCATTTTAAGCATTATTTATCTCTTTCCTCCCATTTGGAGCGAAAACACAGGTTGCATTTGCCATGCTTTTTAATGATGCAAAAAATGGACAAGTCACAGTCATGTTCACCAATTTTGGGGGTCTCCTGAAATCTAATTGGGATTGTAGAGAGGGGAAGAAAGACCTGGTATCTTCAGGCCCATAGGCTCTCAGGTCATGGTCCTTCCACATTGGACTGGGCCTCATGGAGACTGGAACAATGGACCAGCTCTGGTGACCCACTGTTTTCCTGTTCAGGCTGATTTTCCATTATGTAATGTGGTGCTCCCATGGGTAGTTTCCCATTAGAGTTGACCTCCTCTTGCACACTGCTTGTCTCCTCAAATCCATTTTTTCCCTATATAGTGTTAGAGTTCAAGCTGTATACATGGTAGACAAACTAAAAACCACATTTCCCAGCCTCCCATAAAATCAAGTTTTTGCCAACGAAATATGAGTGGAAGAGTTGGGTGAATTTTCATGTCATTACTTGCCTTTGTTTCTTCTTTCATTCCACTTCCTTGGGACTGGAACACAGACTTGATGGAGACCTGTTTCAATCATCTAGAGAAGGACAGTTCTCAGTGGTATGGCGGAGCCACAGATGGAAGGAACTTGGGTCCTGAATGATACAGATGAGCAACTCTGCCCTGCCAGCCAAGGTCGACCTTGCCATATCTATTGTCTGCTTACACTGAGGCTTTTATTTAAGAGAGAAATAAATGTTTATCTTATTTAAGTCACGGTGTTTTGGGTTCTTTTTGTTATAGCAGTTTAGGTTATATCTTGATAAACATATGTCCCTGGGTGTTGCCTTTGGCTCTGATGTTGATTTCTGGCTAAGTATATTAGTTAGATACAGGTTTGGCTGCTAAAACAAGGCTAGAATAACAGGTTTGGCTCAAATGATCTGAACATAAGTTGTCTGGGGCGGTTATAATTGCCTTATGGATTTGGGGAGCAGGGCTTCTTTAATTTTGTTGCTTTGTCATTATAAACATGTGATCTCCACCTTGTGGTCTAGGGTGGCATTCCAGCCAGTGGAAAGGGGAGAAGAAAAATTGAGGAGCACACCCCTTTTCTTAAGAGCATACTCTATGGACTCAGTGAAAAACTTGGGAGTTTTATTACTTAAGGAGGTAGAGAGAATGGGTTCTGACACACTCTACCAAGTTTATGTAACTCAACAAATATTGGGAGAAACTCATAAAAGAAAGGCCTTTTTTTAAAAAAGGCAGTTATTAGATATGAATCAGGCAGATTTATTAGTCTATTTGAGTGTCCAAAACAAAATATTACAGACTAGGTAGCTTAAACAACAGAAATTTCTTTCTCATGGTTCTGGAGGCTGTGAAGTCCAAGATCAGGGCGCCAGCATGGTTGGTTTCTGGTGAGAGGTCTTTTCTTGGCTTGCAGATGGCCATTCTCACATGGCCTTTCCTCTGTGACACACAAGGGTAGCAGGGAGATATGCGGGGGTGTTGGGGCGGGGGGAGGCAGGAGCGGGGAGAGAGAAAGAGAGAGAGAGGATCAGGATCCACCCTTATGAACTTGTGTAACCTTAATTACCTCTTAATGGGCTTGAGAATCTCCAAATACAGTCACATTGTGGATTAGGGCTTCATGTCTAAATTTTGGTGGGACGCAATTCAGTCCTTATCAGTGGCTTGAAGAGGCACCTAAAATTCATTGGTTTAAGAATTCAGTCAGGTGAGGATATATTATGCCCTGGTAACAAACAAACCCCAAATCTTGGTTACCACAGCAGTTTGCAAAATGTGACCATAAATCTCCTTTTCTGGAGTGCATGCCTCTTTGCAATGTGACTTTACCACTCCTACCAACAAGAGGTAAATTTTTCCCCATCTTTAAATCTGGGTTGGCCTTGTAATTTGCTGTGACCAAAAGAACATGGTGGAAGTGATGTTATGTGACTTCTGAGGATAACCCTCAAGGGACCATGCTGTTCATGCATAGGATCTCTTGGAATGCTGTCCTGAGACTGCCATATAATGAGGAGTTAGGGATAGAAGACCATGGGAGTGTGAGCCCCAGCTGTCCCGCTGTTCTCACTAAACTGAGCCCTCAGGTGACTGCAGCTGCATAAGTGAGCCTGGGCAAGGCCAACAGAAGAACCACCTGGTCAACCCACAAAAATCACGAGAAAGAATAAGTCATTTTCTTAAGTCCCTAAATGTTGAGTGGTATTTTCTTCCTTTGGCAGTGGTAAATGCAGTGGATTACAACAAAAGTTTATTTTTTTGCTCACATTACATATCTGCTGAGGGTCAGCAGGGGTTCTGTTTTTCATGTCACCCAGGGATCTAGGCTGCTGGAGCAGCCACCGTCTCGAACATTGCCATACATAAATTCCTGCATTGCCTCATAAAGCTGCAACCTAGAAGTGATACATGTCACTCATATCCATGTTTCAATGGCCAAAGCAAGTGGTAAGGAAGTTCAATCCCACTGTGTGACTAAAAGGCCAGAATATTTGTGAACTTCTCTAATACCCATCACCTTTAAGGTAGTTTATTTCTCTTGTAACAATTGAAGTAGCGGGACAGTGCTGGTATTACACCAACATAGTGTCAGAGACCTAGGCTCCACTGTCTGTTTGCTCTGTCATCCCAGGATATTGCTCTTGAATCGCCATCAGATTTATAATACAGTCCGTAGGAGGGGGAGGGTATATTCCCCTTTTATTTTAGCTATATAACTTGAAAGTTATACACATCAGTTCTACTTACATCTTATTAGCCAGAACCATGTCACTTGGTCACCAGCTGCAAAGGAAGCTGGGAAATGTAGTTTTTAGCTGGATGACTATATGGCCTGCTATACATCTCTTAATGGGAGAACAGGTACTGGGTTCAGGGGAGGAACCAGCAGCTCTGCCACAGCAGCAGCTTTGGGACTCCCCAAACCAAGAGTGTCACATTCTTCTTGCATTCACTCAGGCCTGTCCAAGGGGGAACCCCCCCCCACTTTGTATATGCATGTTTCTGAGGAGTTATTTGTAAATCAAAAGAATTTTCACAAACTTAATGGATCACTTGAGAGATGTTTCATCTTCATTTTTGATTGATCTTATTTATTTACATTTCAGATTGTTTGACAAAGTATTAAAGAGACTTCTGTGAGATGAGGAGGCTAACACATCAGCTCAGAGTTTCTTTGCTTCCTGCATTTCATACAAATGCAGGTTGTAATTTAAAGGAACATCCAAATCCCAAAATACTTTTATTCCTTTGCGTAACCAATCCCCAGTTTATTTGTTTTATAAGTTGGGGATTTTATCTACTGGACTTTCTGTAAAATGTTCTAAATATTTTCCCAGTCTCCAAGACTAAGTGTTGATTTCATTTTTATCCCTAGATTCTCTCTGGGGAAGTGCTTCAGAAAAGAAAAAGATTATGACTACACCTGTGTATCAAGAAGTTCTAAGAAAATTAGTCTCAATCTCTTGGAGCTCTATGTTTGAGAAAACAATACTATCCCAGGCTCTCTGAAGTAAAACCCACTTGGCAAAACCCAAAAGAAAACTGAACTTTACTTAAATAAATGGTTTTGCAATATCTTGGATGGTTTGTGGGTTTGTGTGCTTTAGATTAGTCATGCAAGACTGTGTATGCATTTGTGCGTGTCCACGTGTGTGAGGAGGATGGAGGTTGGGAGCAGTACGCAAAGGCTGTGGTGAAGATCAATTGACTCGATTGATATATTGGGATTAGGAAGACAAGGCACAGGTTTCACCCCGTCAGCTCAGTTCCCAATCTGTGACTGTTTTTTTTTTTTCCCCAGCAAGAGACCGTCCCCTTTGCCACTCCCGTTTTCCTTCTCTGGCAGCAAATGAAGTAACTGCTGAGCCAGCTCTGGTTTTCGGGAAGTCAGATGATCTTTTCCCTCTTCCTACTCTCTGGCTCTCCCTGCCCCAAGGTGGATACCATGGACCCACTAATGGCTCTTCTTTGCCTGCTGTCCCTGTACCCAGGTAGGAGCAAGGGTGGGAGGATGTGGGGGTCCTGTGGGTGAGGTTGGTGCTACCCAGGTTGAGTTTCCAAGGGTAAAACGGATAGTCCCTTGTGCTTTCCTCTTCTCATCTGTGCCTTCCTTCTTTTCTGCATTTCTGTGTTGTGTCCCCATGCCCACAGGCTTGGCTGCAGCCGCTCCCTCCTGCCCTCAGAACGTGAAAATCTCAGGTGGCAATTTCACCCTCAGCCACGGTTGGGCCCCTGGGAGTGTCCTCATCTACTCTTGTCCCCTGGGTCATTATCCATCCCCAGCGTCTCGGCTGTGCTTGAGCAACGGACAGTGGCAGACCCTACGATCTACCCGGTTGACAAAGGCAGTCTGCAAACGTAAGGCTCTCGAAGGGTCTTGTTCAGGGAACCCTGCCAGCAGCCACCTCAGAATTGCTATTCAAGAGTTGCTCAGGGTGGGACTTAACATGACTAGATGGTCTGGGTGGGACAGCAAAGCTGCTTTTTCATAGGGCTTTGAAAATAATGGGAAAATGTCGCCTTCCCCATAGCAAGACATTGAAGGCAGGCTTTGATGGAGATTGTGGGGTGCTAAAGCCAGGGATATTTTTAAAAAACAGTTGACTGCACAGTAATGGCCATTTAGAGAAGATACTAGATGATCCTGGAGTCCCCTGTTGTGCTAGGCGTTACCTCTTTAGTTACCCACTTATGGAACATCTGAGGACACCAAGGGAGGTCCTAGGGTGGCCATGCTCCTCAAGGGGCTGAAAGAAGTGGCTTTTTATCAATCTGTTAGGCTGAACTAATAGCGTGAAAATGCCAGTGCTCAACCAATTGCCAAAAGCAGCAATTTTATGTGCATCAACCTAATATATAGACAGCCAGTTGGCTGGCCCCATGCATCCAAGCTGAATATCACCCACTGGATGCCCAGTTCAGGGGTTATTCATCCATCCCTATATTCCTATCCCTTCTCTCCCTCCAGCTGTTCGCTGTCCAGCACCTGTTTCTTTTGAGAATGGCATGTATACCCCACGGCTGGGGTCCCACCCTGTGGGCGGCAATCTGAGCTTCGAGTGTGATGATGGCTTCACACTGCGGGGCTCGTCTGTGCGGCGGTGTCGCCCCAATGGCATGTGGGATGGGGAGACGGCCGTGTGTGACAATGGCGGTGAGTGCCCTGACTGATGGCTGCATGGGGACTGGGGACTTCCAGGAACCCTGGAGCCAGATGTGTGTCCAGGGATCCTCTGTGGGGACAGCAGCCTGGTATTTCTAGTGCCAAAATAATATTCCTGGATTTTGGTAAATCGAGATCTACAGGTCACACATCACCTGCTTCAGGGAACCAGGCCTGAGGTAATCGATTCTAAACTTCAGACCCAACATAAAGCCTCCATGCACTGTCTACCTTTTCCAAATGCTTCAAAGCTAGATTGATATTCAGGCCCCACAGGATTGCAGGGACGGAGGGTATGCTGAGAGAAAATCAAGTATTGTGCTTAAGTGTCTTCCTTTTTGAGCCAGTTTGGGTTCCAAGCCTGGCTCTGACATTGACTTTGGGTAGGTTATCTTACCTCTCTGTGCCTCAGTTTCTGCATTTGTAAAATGGGAATAGTAAGGGTGCCTATTGCATGGGGTTGTCATGTGGATTAAATGAGTTGATATTAGTAAGCATCTAGAACATCCTTTGGAATCTGATAAGCACCACATACACTATAAACTATTCTGCTATGTAGTTCCATTATATGAATATATTAAAATTTATTTATGTATTTTCCTGTTGATGGGCATTTGGGTTCTTTCCGGTTTTGTCTATTATGAATAAAGCTCAATTACGTTCCTGTACGCGACTTTGGTGCACTCGTGCACTTGTTTCTCTTGAGCATATTATCTAGGAGTAGAATTACTGGGTCCCGGTTGGCATATGTTTAGTTTTAGTGGAGGCTGGCAAGCAGTTTCACCGATGACACTCTAGTAATATAAAAGAGTTCCGGTGGACTCATCCTCTCTGACACTTGGAATTACCCATCTTTTTAGTTTTAGCCATTCTGGTGAGTGTGTAGTGATGACTCATTGTGGTTTAGAAAATGCCAGTGTCTTCTGTGGAGGTGGGCTCCTCAGCTGGCATCTTTCCTGGAGTGCTGGGATGGATGCATGTTGAGTCCCTGGGCTGGGACTGGGATGCTTTAGCTGGCAACCGAGGCCACTGAGCTCTAAACATTTGGCCCTCCTTAAGGTTTTTCTATCCACACACCTTGGGAAGCATGGTTGTGGGGTCTCCCAAGAGGGAGGCCAAGGGGCCTACAGAGGCTCTGAGGGGCTGGAGAGGAGGAAGAACTGGAGGGAGAGGACGGGTAAGCAGGGCAAGAGGTCAAAGAGGCAGGTTCCTGCTCACTTCCATCTTCCTTTGTCCATGTGCAGCCAGCCATTGCTCCAACCCGGGCATTTCGGTGGGCTCAGTGAGGACAGGGTCCCGATTTGGCCTTGGAGACAAGGTGAGCTACCGCTGCTCCTCGAATCTGGTGCTGACGGGGTCTGCAGAGCGGGAGTGCCAGAGCAATGGGGTCTGGAGTGGAACGGAGCCCATCTGCCGCCGTGAGTAGCTGCCCTGACCCTCATGAGACTCCTGGGCACTCCCCATCCCTCACCAGGTCCTGGCTGACCCCAGTGGCTCTTCCCACAGAGCCCTACTCTTACGACTTTCCTGAGGATGTGGCCCCCGCCCTAGGCACCTCCTTGTCTCACCTACTTGGAGCCACCAATCCCACTCAGAAGAAGAATGGTGAGCATTTGAAGAGTGGGCAGCAGGGTGCTGAGGAGGCTTTCCAGGCTCAGCTTCTGGTGAACTCAGCATTGCCGAGCTTACTGGAGGGGAAGCAGGGCGGTCCTCTTGATAAGAGAGAAGGTAGGAGGCAGAAATCTGAATCCTCCTCTTCCACCTTCCTTTCAGAAAATGTGGGCCGAAAAATCCAAATCCAGCGCTCTGGTCACCTGAACCTCTACCTGCTCCTGGATGCTTCTCAGAGTGTAGCAGAAGATGACTTTCGCGTCTTCAAGGAGAGCGCCATCCTCATGGTGGACAGGGTCAGGAAATGGGAGCCTGGGCACCGAGGAGGCTTTCCTGTACACACTGTCTCTCTCTGTTTCCTTCTCTTCCTCAGAACTCCACTCACAGTCCAGCTCTTTCAAGAAGTCTTCTCAGATTATATGCATGTAATGAAGGAATCATGGATTCAATTTATGGGATCATATTTTTAATTCCACAAACATTGTTGGAGCACTATTATTTGTCAGACACTGTGCTGGGTGCTGGGTGCTGGGTGCTGGGGGATACCAAAGATAAATAAGACTGAAGTCCTAGTTTCTAGGAATTCATCATCTAGAACAATGGTCTTCACAGAGAGGTACACAAAATAATCCACTGAGGTATGGCAGAAAAATACTGCTATCCTTGTTGAATAATTTTAATTTAAAATTAAATTAATAACTTTATATGTAATAATTTAAAAACATTTAAATATTTTGTATATGTTTATAGTGACACACTTTATAAATAAGAACATACTTTATAAGCATATATACCTATATAAGGGTAAGTGCTTGAAATGTCCTTACCGACCAGATGCATGAGCGGAAGAGTATGGAATCCGCTGGTTTAGATTTTTTGCCTACATTTTGCTTGGTAATTATGCTTTTCACAGTAGTTTACATAGGTATATGTTTTTCCTCCCAGCTACATTTTAAAGAGGGCACTTTTTGTGCTCCTTAGAGTCTCTCTTAGGACTTAAAGTTAAGTAACTTACTAAATCGTGAGGCTGCAAAATGCAACAGTTGGAGAAGTGCCTCTGAGTTGCACTGACAGGTTCCAACCATCTCTTACCAGCGGTGTGATCTGGGGCAAGGTAACAAAGCCTCAGTTTCCTCATCTATAAAATAGGGACCATCATGCCCTCCTCACAAAGTTGCTGTGAAGATTAAATGAGGAGCGAGCCTATCAAAGAGAGTAGATGGTCAACAAATGTCAGTTCCCGGAGTTGTTCCAAGCAGCAGTTTCTTAGTGAGTGTCCATGGACCTTGCCTTTGTCAGTTCAGGTTCTCTACCTCCTCTAGGGCCCTTTATTTGCTCTCTTACTAGTTCCCCCTTCAGTTTCAGGGCTCCTCACACTGCCTCTCACTTGCCCTTCACAGATCTTTAGTTTTGAGATCAATGTTAGTGTCGCCATCATCACCTTTGCATCAAAGCCCAAAATCATCATGTCCGTCCTGCATGACAGCTCCCGGGATGTGACCGAAGTGATCGACCGTCTGGACAACATCAACTATAAAGGTACAGGTGTCATCAGATGAAAGTGATAGGAAAGGGAGGGGATGAGCTCTCTTGCCAACAGATTCTGGACAAGTTAGACAGAGAGGCCTCTTGGTGGCATTCAAGTCCCTGGGCTCTGGGGCTCTGGTTCTTCCGGTCTCCAAGCCAGGCTAATGGTGGAGGAGTTCCAGCTCCCACCAACTCCTGGCTTACTCTAAGTGCTGCATGTCCAGTGCAGGTAGGTCTCTGACTCCTTCATGATGCCAGAACCACAAGGTCTGGTTTTCGTGGCTCAGCACCGTAGTCTCCCCATGTCATAGAAACTACCTGGGGAGTGGGTAGCAAATGCTAACACAACCCAAAGTTCTTTGCAAACCCCATCTTTGAATCTGGGGACTTTGGAGTGGCCTAAGATTGGGATTATGCAATGAACACTTCTAAGAGGAATGGCTTTTAAAGCCTCAGGAGACGATGATGCCAAATCTCTATCTAGATACCCAAGGTCTGAGTTTGTCAAACCAGTTGATAATTTCATTTCCACTGGCTGGGGGAAGTAGAGTGATTCCCTTCTCTTAGGTGGCAGGTGGAAAGTTTCTAAGAGATTCCTTCCTCTTCGCATATCCCAGACCATGAAAATGGAACCGGAACTAACACCTATGAGGCCCTAAATAGTGTCTATATCATGATGAATAACCAAATGCAACGCCTCGGTATGAAAACGGCTGCCTGGCTGGAAATCCGACACGCCATCATTCTTCTGACAGATGGTGGGTGTCACTGTCTTTGTGAGTGAGGCTGGGACAGTGGAAGGAGGGCCAAGATGGAATCAGAAGTCCTGTATTCTGGTTCTCCTTCTGCCAGTTTGGGCCTCAAATTCTTATTTATAAAGTAGAAATAGTGTTTAAAAACTAGATATAGTGTTGAAAGTCATAACAGTAATGATGACGACAATGATGATAATGATAGCTGCTCTCCGTTCCTTACACAATTTTTATGGAGAGAAATTTAAGTAGTTTGTGTAAAAGTATTTCGTGATTATAAATGTTAGTTATTGTCACTACCCAGAACTGTCAACTAGAGTGAGCTGGGGGGTGGGGGGGGAGTGGCGTGGCTCTGGAGCAGTGAAGTCAAGGAGCAGATGGAAGGGTGCACTATGTAGTGGATCTGAGCTCTGTCATTGATGTCTTGATTTTGTCCACATTACATCACCCCTCAGAACTCAGTTTTCTTGTCTGTAAAATGAGGATACCCACGCTTTCTGCTGTTTCATGAAAATTAAATGAAACAAAGTAAATGAAGCTCCTGGCCCAGCATTCTCTAGAATACAGAGAATTTTAGTAAATAATGTATCTTAAAACTTGGGTAGAAAGTATAGGTGTTGAGACTGCCAGGATGTGGGGAATCCTGATATATCCACCCAGAGGAAAAATTTTTTTCTCTCCCTGTTCTAGGGAAGTCCAATATGGGGGGCTCTCCCAAGCCAGCAATTGACAGTATCAAAGAGATCTTGAACATCAACCAGAAGAGGAATGACTATCTGGGTGAGCATCTGCCCCTGCTCCCATCTGTGCTGCCCCTGCACGAGGCACAAAGCCTGCAACCAGGGGTTCCAGCATCTTGGCTTTCTTTTTAGCAAGACACACCACCCCAGGTTGTATGAAGGCAGCCAAATGTCACTTTGAAGAGTCTGGAGTCAAACCACCTACGGTTTCAACTGTGGTTTCATCTTTCATTGGCTGTGGCCGTGGCTGTTTCTTCACTTGGGAGAGTAGGATAGTCCTAGGCCCTATGTCTTAGACTGATAGGAGCAGATGCTCAGACGTTGCCTGGCACAGAGAAACACAGTGTGTGTTAGTGGCTGCCATCCTTAATATCATCATCATTATTCACCATTTAATGTTCCAGGAACCTCTCCAGGAAGCAAAGGCCTGCATTGCTTGTGGGGACTGTCCCTGTTAGTTCCCCTTTTAGCAGTACAAATAACTAACTAAGGCTTTGGCAGTTGCAGACTCTAAAAGAACAATTCCTCAGGTTCAGACTGAATACAAATTGCACTGACCTTTGACCACAAAACAATTTCAAAGAGAAGTGCTCCAGATAAGGAAGGGCATCTGGTTTGGAACCCCCAAGTTTCACTTGCCCTTTGGCTCCTCTCTTTTCTGTTCCACCCTGCTCCTCCTGCCTGTCAGGGAAAAGCAGATTCTTCTGTAAAATTCTGGCCTAAGGAAGGCAAAACTCAAACTCCATTACCTAACTCTTTAGCATAACTGGGCCATCATTAAATTCTTAAAAACTTTATTAGAAAGAAGCGGGAACTGAAGAAAACTTGTGAGGCATGACAATTGCCCAGCTCCCATTGGAACTGCTCCCTCCTGGCCAGTGCTAGATTGCTTTCTGAGGGAATACTTCTCTCACAGTCTGTCTGAGTATCTTACCCCTTACCCACAACACAGGGCCCTCTGGGAGCAAAAAAGGGCCACAAAATCTCATGCCAAGGGTGGAAGAAGACCAGACTCTGTAGGCCACCATAGACTGGCACCCACATTCACTCAGAGGCTGTGCCTGGATGGTTGTGTGGGCTCAGGAGACATGGGAAGAGATGTCTCCAGGCCCCTCTCCCAGAGCCTACATTTTACAGAAGAAGACCAGATCTGAAGTTTTGCCTCCATGCTACGTTCATGAGTTCTTTTTTATTCGTTTAGTCATTTAAAATGTCCCGAGAGCCTTTCTTAGGCTCGGTACCATTCGAAAGGTACAGCTGCGAACAGACAAAAATGCTTCCTTGCCTACGGCCATGACACCCTGAACATGCTCAATCTCATCTGATCTCGGAAGCTTAGCAGGGTCGGGCCTGGTTAGTACTTGGATAGGAGACCACCTAGGAATATCAGGTGCTGTAGGCATCAAAAAAAAAAAAAAATGCCTCCTTGCATGGGGATGTCATCCTGGAGGGGGCAAAGTGTTAGTTTGCTATGGCTGATACAATAAATTATGCAAACTTGGGTGACTTAAAGCAACAGAGATTCCTTCTGTCATGTTCAGGAGGCTAGAAGTCCAATATCAAGGTGTCAACAGGGCCATGCTTCCTCTGGAGGCTCTAGGGAAGAAGCCTTCCTTGCCTCTTCCAGCTTCTGGTGGCTCCAAGGCATTCCTTGGCTTGTAGAAGAATAACCCAGTCTCTGCCTCTGTCTTCACATCCCCTTCTTCCTTCAGTGCATCTCTTTGTCATCACATAGCATTCATGGCATTCTCCCTATGAGTTTGTGTCCAAATTCCCCTCTTCTTATAAGGACACTGGGCATCAGATCAGGGACCGCCCTAACCCAGTATGAACTCATCTTAACTTGGTTACATCCACAAAGACTCTACTTCCAAATAAGATCATGTTCACAGGTACCGAGGGATAGAACTTGAACATAATCCTTTTGGGAGACACTGTAGGCATTAAACAAGATAAATAAGGAATCCACGGTAAATAGTGACACATGCTTAGGTATAAAATGAAGCAGGCATGAAATGGAAGTGTCTGGGGCATTAAATTTTTAGACAACAAGGCCAGGGAAGACTCACCGAGATAGTGACATTTGAGTCAAGACTTAAAAAGATAAGAAAATGAGCCAAGTGTGAAATCTATGGGAGGAGCGAACCAGGCAGAAGTTCAGCTTTTGCAAAAGGCCTGAGGTGGGAGTGTGCCTCCAAATCTGAGGAAGTTCAAGAAGTCTGTGTGGCTGGAATAGAGTGAAGGGTGAAGAGTGGTAGGAAATGAAGTCCTATAGGTATTGGGGGGCGGGGGTAGGGAGTAGGTCCAGCTCATGTAGAGCTTTGTAGAACACAGTGAGTTCTAAATTACAGCTTCCTGTCTCACGGGGTAGCCCCCAAGCCACAAGATTCTGGTGATTTCTCCCTCCCCATCAGACATATACGCCATCGGGGTGGGCAAGCTGGAGGTGGATTGGAGAGAACTGAATGAGCTGGGGTCCAAGAAGGATGGTGAGAGGCATGCTTTCATTCTGCAGGACACAAAGGCTCTGTACGAGGTCTTTGAGCACATGCTGGGTGAGTGAGTTTCGTTCACCCTCTCCAGAGTGGGGAGGGCAAGGGATCCAGGTTGGGAACCTGCTCATGGTGCCCCTCACCTGCTTCCTTCCCCATCTGCTCCTCATGCCCACAGATGTCTCCCAGCTCATAGATACCATATGTGGGGTGGGAAACGTGTCAGCTAATGCTTCTGCCCAGGAGAGGACACCTTGGCATGTCACTATCAAGGTACCAGGAAGGAGGGGTGGGGCTCGGATCCCAGAGGTGAAAGCAGCCATGGGCCGGAGACATAGCAGTCCCTGAAGACTTTCTGTTCCCTTGCAGCCCAAGAGCCACGAGACCTGCCGGGGGGCCCTCATCTCGGACCAATGGGTCTTGACAGCTGCTCATTGCTTCCGCCATGCCGATGAGGACCGTTCCCTGTGGCGGGTCAATGTGGGTAAGGCAGGGCCACCTCCAGATTCCTGACCCCGCGGTCAGAGCTCCCACTCCTGTCCCTAGCATCTGGCTCCTTTAAGAGCTCTGGCCCAACCAATTCTGCCGTACTATTCCCAGGGGATCCCAACTCCCAGTGGGGCAAAGAATTCCAAATCGAGAAGGCGGTGATCTCCTCGGAGTTCAATGTCTTTGCCAAGAAGCAACAGGGAATCCTGGAATTCTATGGTGACGACATTGCCCTGCTGAAGCTGGCCCAGAAAGTGAAGATGTCCACTCATGCCAGGTGCTGGCATCTGGGATGGGAGGGCATCCTCTGGGGAGCCCTGGAGAACAGGCACTAAGGTCAGGTCTGTGTGGCCCACACCCTTGTCCCCAGGCCCATCTGTCTTCCCTGCACAGTGGGGGCCAATCTGGCTCTGCGGAGACCCCCAGGCAGCACCTGCCGAGAGCACGGTGAGTGCTGGGGCTTCAGGTGTGTGAAGAGCTGGGACCAGGGCTTGGGGGTGACAATATGGGCTGTGCTGCAGTCCCCAAATCAGGAGTCTGGATGCTGGGTAAAGGGACTAACCTCCCCTCTCCTTGACTGCAGAGAACGAACTTCTGGATAAACTGAGTGTTCCTGCTCATTTTGTGGCCTTGAATGGGGACAAACTGAACATTAACCTCAAGACAGGGACTGAGGTGAGGGACTCAGGTCCGGGATGCTATGGGGAGATGGGGTTTCTCTGGGGCATCTCCCAGACTGTTTCTCTGCCTCCTCCAGCTCTCGCTGCTTTCTCCATCTGACCCTGAGTCGCCTCTCCTCCCAGCCCTAGCTGGACTACCAGGTGTCCCCTGGGCCTGCTCATTCCATTCTTCTCGCCTGTTCTACCCCTACTACAGTGGACAAGCTGTATTAAGGTCGTCTCCCAAGACAAAAAAACGTTCCCCAACTTAACAGATGTCAAAGAGGTGGTGACCGACCAGTTCCTATGCAGTGGGACCAAGGAGGATGACAACCCCTGCAAGGGTGAGTGCCTCCTACCTGTCTTCCACCCCAGAAACTGGATTCCTGAGGGAAGGCCACCTGTGGTCAGCATGCATGCCTGGATGCTTGTGCACTGCCCCAATGACAGGGGAGCAGGGCAAGAGTCAAAATGACAATATCTTGTCCCTTCTTTCTGCAGGAGAATCTGGAGGAGCAGTTTTCCTTGAGCGGAGATTCAGGTTTTTTCAGGTGAGGAGAGAAAGGGAAAAGCTCGCAGAACTGGGGTTATAGGATCTTGGCCTTGCGGGGAGGATAAGGGAGGTCTTTGAAGGAACCAGGGAGGTTGGGGCTTGGAGCTGGGGCTGTGGCAGACTCCTATTCCACCCTGTAAAATTCTGGCCTAAGGAAGGCAAAACTCAAACTCCATTACCTAACCCATTCTCTCCTTCTTCCAGGTGGGCCTGGTGAGCTGGGGTCTCTACAACCCCTGTGGCAGCTCTGATAAAAACTCCCGCAAGAGAGCCCCCAGGGGCAAGGTGCCGGAACCACGAGATTTCCACATCAATCTCTTCCGCCTGCAGCCCTGGCTGAGGCAGCACCTGGAGGGAGTCCTGAACTTTTTGCCCCTCTAATCATGCCCACTGACCCCTTTGCTGTCCTGCGGGAACTGCTATCTCTCCCATGTCCTACTTCTGAATCTCTGTCCTCCTACCCCATGACCCATCCTCACTCTTCGCCCTGCAGCATAAGTCAGGCCTCTGGGGTCCCAAGGCAGTGCTCAGCCCACCCTTGGCTTTACATGACTCACTCTCCTTTCACTTTCACGTGGAATTTCCCAGTTATGAAATTAATAAAAATTAATGATTTCTACATCTGTCTGTGCCTCTGCCGGGGGGTGGGGTAGGGAAGGCAGGAATGATTCCAGGAACCGCAGAAGGCAGGTCAGAGACCCTGCTGGACAAACAGTGGCTGGACTCTGCTCCATAACAGAGTCAGCAGGGGAGTGAGCTGGGGTCTTATTTCTGGTCCCTAAGGGGGTGGTCTGGGCTTGTTGGGGAGGAACTGGGGTAGAGAGGAGGTGCTGAAATGAAGAGTCCTGGACCTTGGGCAGCAAAGGGTGGAGCTTGTGTAGTTTCTATTTCCTTGTTTCCTTGACTGGCAGCTCAGTGCCCCCCCCCCTCCGCCCCCCTTGGACATTCCGGAAAGTGATGTGGGTAGGGCGGGCGGGTTGAGCTGCAGGTGCCAGCACACAGATTGCATAAAAGGTTGGAGGTTGTGGGGGGCAGGGGAAGGGAGTGCGACCAGGCTCAGGTCTGGAATTTCAGCTTAGACATTGAGTCAAGCAGACATGCAGCACAAGCCGCAGAAGGCCATCCCGCCTTCAGCCTCAGCTTCTCTCCTGCCTTCTGTCTCCTTGGGGCGCAATCTCAGCCTCCGACTTTGTCTGGTACCCTTGGTCCTGGGCCTCTTGTCTAGAGGTAAGCCAGGGTCACCACCCCTCCTCCTTCTGCCCCCAGCATCCTTCCTTGGCCTTGTCAGGCCCCGCTTTATCAGCCTGTCTCTTTAGGTGGGAGCACGACACCATTGCCGGAAGCCAGGCCCCAAGGATTTTGCTCTCTAGAGGGAATAGAGATTAAAGGTGGCTCCTTCCGGCTCCTCAAGGAGGGCCAGGCACTGGAGTATGTGTGTCCCTCTGGCTTCTACCCATACCCTGTGCAGGCTCGTATCTGCAGATCCACAGGGTCCTGGAGCACCCTGCAGACCAAGGACCAAAAGATTGTCAAGAAGGCAGAATGCAGAGGTTGGAGGACAATGAGGGTGGGCATGGGCCAGCAGAGGGTTGGAGCAGGTGGCAACCAAGATCCAGACTAGGATGAGATTAGAGTGTTTTGAGACTGTAGGTAGGCTGACAAGTTGGGTTGAGCAAGTGTAGGAGCTGTTTGGAGTTGGAGGTGGGAAGGAGGGAGGAGGAAGGAGGAAGGAGAGCTAATCTTTACTAAGTATTTACCCAGTACCAGGCAGCCTTGGCAGTTAACAGAAGATCCAGGAATGGGGAGGGAGGAGCAGTGAGACTCTCCATGGGTTGAGGGACCCTCCAGGGGCTGAAAGGTAGACGCTGCTGCTGTGGGACTAAGAAGGCACTGTTCCTCAGTGACAGGGACCCTGAGACCAGGAGGGATACCCTAAAGTGCAGCCCTTCCCTCTCAGTAACTTGTACTTGTCCCTCTCCCCCAAAGCAATCCACTGCCCAAGACCACAGGACTTTGAGAATGGGGAGTACTGGCCCCGGGCCCCCTACTACAATCTGAGTGATGAGATCTCTTTCCACTGCTATGATGGTTACACACTCCGGGGCTCTGTCAATCGCACCTGTCAAGTGACTGGTCGGTGGGATGGGCAAACGGCCATCTGCGACAATGGAGGTGAGAAGCATCGCCTCCCCCCCATCATGGTAGCCTCTCCCTGACCGTGCTGCAGCCTGTGCTCTACCTTGCCCTCTGGACCTCCGACTTTGGCTCTCACCTCCATGTCTCATGCCTCTGCAGCGGGGTACTGCCCCAACCCAGGCATCCCCATTGGCACAAGGAAGGTGGGCAACCAATACCGCCTTGAAGACAGTGTCACCTACTACTGCAGCCGGGGGCTCACCCTGCGTGGCTCCCAGCGGCGAACATGCCAGGAAGGTGGCTCTTGGAGTGGAACGGAGCCTTCTTGCCAAGGTGACCCTTGACCCATGCCCTCTGGTCAGATCCTGCTCTTCTAGCCTCATATCCCCACAACTGTCTTCTCCCCCTTTCCTGACCCAGTTCCTTCCACTTCTAAACCTCCCTGTAGAATTTCCTCACTTCTGAGCCCCTCTCACCCCAGAAACTCACCATCTCCTCTCTCCGGTCACGGTGTCCCTGACCTTCCCAGACATATGACCTGATCTCTGACCTCTCCCAGACTCCTTTATGTACGATACCCCTGAAGAGGTGGCCGAAGCCTTCCTGTCTTCCCTGACAGAGACTATAGAAGGAGTCGATGCTGAAGATGGGCACAGCCCAGGTTTGAAGGCAGAGTGGGAGGTGGGGTAGGGAATTGGAGGAGGATGGAGAAGGGGCAGGAGAACCATGCATGCTGAAGCCTGAGTGTCTCTGGTGGCACCCAGGGGAGCAACAGAAGAGGAAGATCGTCCTGGACCCCTCGGGCTCCATGAACATATACCTGGTGCTGGATGGATCAGACAGCGTTGGGGCGCACAACTTTACAGGGGCCAAGAATTGTCTCAGAGACTTCATTGAGAAGGTGGAGCTTCCTCCCTCTGAATGTGGGGACCCTGAATGGCCCTCACTGCCTTGCCAGGACTAGCTTCTTGGTGTTCCCAGCCTCTCTGAGCTATAGGGTTCCAGAAAATCTCTAGGTCCTAAGCTATCCTCCTCCTTTACTTGAAGCAGTTTCTTGACCTTTAACCCAGACTCCCCTACAAACCTCAGGTGACCTGTCAGCCCTTGAGTGCCTTACTATGACCTCTCTTATCCCAGCAAAGCTGCTGAATTCTCCCAACTATAGTATTCTACTTGCAATGCCATGACTCTTTGCTCCTCTCAGGTGGCAAGTTATGGGGTGAAGCCAAAATATGGTCTAGTGACATATGCCACAGACACCAACATTTTGATCAGAGTGTCTGATGCAGAGAGCAGCAATGCAGACTGGGTCACAGAGAAGCTCAACAAAATCAGCTATGAAGGTCAGGAGTCAGAAAAGCAAATGGTGGGCGGGAATAGTGGGAGGTTCACTTTGGGGTCAGAGAGGTCAGAAGGTCCAGGGGTGTTGTGTGAGACCATGTAGGGGGGCAGGGAGGGCCACTTTGTAGTCTTTGGTTAGACAGCAGGGTCACTGGGGAATGGAGGTTAGTGGAAACCTGTTAGGGGTTGAGAGGGTCACTTTGTGGTCAAAGGGAAGTCAGTGAGGGTAACAATAACTAAAAAAGTTGAGAGATGTGGGATCTCAGTTGCTGATAGGCCCCTTGAGTTCGAGGATGGCTTGGAAGACTAGGCGAGGTGACAATCTCTTCCCTTTCCACAGATCACAAGTTGAAGACAGGGACTAATACCAAGAAGGCCCTCCAGGCAGTGTACAGCATGATGGGCTGGGAAGGGAACAACCGCCCTGAAAGCTGGAACCGTACCCGCCATGTCATCATTCTCATGACTGATGGTCAGAGGGCCCTTTCTCCTACCTGACTCCCCACGCTTCATACCAGTGTGTGGCCCTTAAGTCCACGTGACACTAGATTCCCGGTTGGGCCTCTGAGCAGCAAGTATGCTTGAGGTCCCAACCATGTTGATCTTTCCTGTGACACTTTACAAGGAGGGACACTTTTCCTTAAAGCTCTCTGTGATCTGTCACTTCCATTCCCTCCCCTACCTGCTTACCCAGCCAAGCATATCACTACTTCCAGCCAATTTATGTTCCTTGACCCTCTTCCTTCCTTGACTCCCACCCTCAAGGTCCTTGTCTCTTCTGCAGGCTTGCACAACATGGGCGGGGACCCAGTCCCTGTCATTCATGATATCCGGGCCTTGCTGGACATTGGTAGAGATCGCAAAAACCCAAGGGAAGATTATCTGGGTGAGTCTTATTGCCCAGAACCCAGTATCCTGCTTTCTTAGCCCTTGCCTCCCCCTACCCACCCCCGAGTCTGTATCCTCACTCTCCCTTTTTTTTCCTCTCAGACGTCTATGTGTTTGGGGTTGGGCCTCTTGTGAACCAAGAGAACATCAATGCTTTGGCTTCCAAGAAAGATAAAGAGAACCATGTGTTCAAAGTCAAGGACATGGAAGACCTGGAGAATGTTTTCTTCCAAATGCTTGGTAGGAAGATATCAGAAGGGTACAAGATGGTCAGGAAACTTAGCTCTCCCTAGGCCTCCCCCAAATTCACTCATCCTTTCTATCTTCCTAAAGCCCTGGCAGTCTGGAAGGCCTTTCTCATTCTTCCTCTCTACCTTAGTGCCATTCTTGCTTCCTGGCAGTGTCCACTTTCTGATCTTAGAATCACAGAGCTCCAAATGACATTCGAGCTCTTTCTCAAGTCCCGTGTTTTACAGATGTGGAAATTGAGGCCAATACAGTCAAGGGACAGCAAGCTAGCAAGAGTTGGGCCTGAAGTCATCCAGGTCTCCGATCTTAGTCTCAAATTTTTCACTGAACCAGTGATTCCTTGCCCTTGGCCTAAGGAACCAAATGCCCCTCCCTGCCCTTTTCTCCTTATGGGCCTTGGCTTTCCGTGGACATGTAGGTGTCCCTCCCCCAAAGCCCCTGCCATCTGGAAGTGTCCCAGCTTTCAGCACATTCTCCTTTCTTGCCAGATGAAACCCGGACTCTGGGTCTCTGTGGCATGGTTTGGGAGCACAGGGACGGTTCTGATTATCACAAGCAACCATGGCAGGTCAAGATCTCAGTCACTGTAAGCACAACATTCTGGTGGTAGGGACTTGTGGGAGGTGAGGTCAGGGTAAAATGGGGGTAAGAAAAAGGGCAAAACGCCCATATTAGATTGTGGTGTTTGTAAGAGTTGAGCTTCCTCCCTCTGCTGTTCTGTTCCCAGCGCCCTTCGAAGGGACATGAGAACTGCATGGGGGCTGTGGTGTCTGAGTACTTTGTGCTGACAGCAGCACACTGTTTCACGGTGGATGACCAGAAACACTCAATCAAGGTCAGCATGGGTAAGGATGATGTAACAAATCAATTCGGAGCTCCAGCCTTGTCCTCCGCAGAACACTACCCACTTGCTCAAGAGCCCAGTCTACCCTTCCTCAACATAGCCCCCTCTTCTGCACCCCGGACCAGTTAGGGATGGGGAAGACTTAGAGTTAGGGATGACATGGAGCCAGAAGTAGGAAACTGCCCACAGAGAAGTGGGTGGTCCAGAGGTATCCATTTACTTCCTATCTCAGGAGGGATGAAGCAGGAATTGGAGATAGAAGAAGTCCTATTTCACCCCAAGTACAACATCAATGGGAAAAAAGAAAAAGGAATTCCTGAATTTTATGACTATGATGTGGCCCTCATCAAGCTCAAGAAAAAACTGACATATAGCGAGACTGTCAGGTGAGATATCTGGCTCCCTGAGAAAAGGCTGGGAAAGGTAGGGTTGAAGGATTGGGGTAGATCCAGAGTTTGCCATCTCTGAGTTTCCCCATCTCTCCTTAACAGACCCATCTGTCTCCCCTGCACTGAGGGAACAAATCAAGCTTTGAGGCTTCCACGATCCACCACTTGCCAGCAACAGAGTAAGACATATTCAGGCAGCGGAGTACTAGGGTGAGATTGCAAGACAACTAGGGCGTGAGAGGGAGCTGCAAAAGATGATGCCCAGTAAGGAATCTAGCTCATAGGAAGGGAGGGGTTGAGGAATATTTGCTGAGTGACAACAATGGAGAGATGGGGAAAGGGAGAATGCTGAAATGACCCAAGCTGTCCGTTTGTCCAGTGGAAGAGCTGCTCCCTGCAAAGGATATCAAAGCTCTGTTTGTATCTGAGTTAACCAAGGACAGGAAGAAGATGCTGGCTCGGAAGGAGGTCTACATCAAGAATGGGGATAAGGTAAGGAATGTAGGATCCTAAAGTGGTCCTCTAAGCCCCGATTCTTCCTAAGCATCACCTTTCTCCTCCATGCTTCTTACATCACCTACAGAAAGCTGGATGTGAGAGAGATGCTCAAAAGGCTCCAGGCTATGAGAAAGTCAAGGACATCTCCGAGGTGGTCACCCCCAGGTTTCTTTGCACTGGAGGGGTGACTCCCTATGCTGACCCCAACACCTGCAAAGGTGAGAGAAGGCTCTTTGGTTGTGCTACAAGTTCTTAAGGCCCAAAAGCCTTTTACCCATCAGCCTCTCCTTCCCTGTAGGCGATTCTGGTGGCCCTCTGATTATTCACAAGAGAAGTCGCTTTATTCAAGTGAGTTTCCACTTTCTCATCTGTGGGTAGATGCCAAGTGGTCAGCAGCGGGCCAAAAACAGGAAAGCTCAATGCATGTGGCTCAAAAGGGGAGGGAAGAACCTGCCTCACCTTGGGACTATTCCTTGAATTGACTGGTTCAGGACCACGTGTCTGGCCAGGACTGAGCTGTGTCTCTAGCCTAATTCTTCGAGGTCACTGCAAATACGACTGGAAGTAGTTGTGTTTCCTGGGAAGGAATTCTACCAAATGATCCATGGCACCCACTCCCCTTCTCCAGGTTGGTGTGATCAGCTGGGGTGTAGTGGATGTCTGCAAAGACCACGGGCGGCGGCAACAGGTACCTGCTCATGCCCGAGACTTTCATATCAACCTCTTCCAAGTACTGCCCTGGCTCAAGGAGAAACTCCAAGATGAGAACCTGGATTTTCTATAAGGGGTTTACTGCTGGAAAGGGGCATGAAATCAAATTAAAACAGCTGCAACAATACCTGTGTTCAAGATCCTTTTGGGGTAATGGAGTGGGGAATGTGCACTGGCCATGTTGTTACAAATGAGATAAAATCTAATAGCCGTTTTTAAAGGCTCAATCCCAATCCCAAATGCTGAAAAACCAGAGGCTGAGGGAGATGTGTGAGCTTCCACCTCAGTGTTTTACTGAGACCACCGTTGGGGCAGATGAGGCACATGAAATCCAGCTCCACTCCCTAAAAACCATCCACAAGGTTTTCCTTGTAGACGTCATCACTGTAGACAATCTGGGTCCTCTTGTCCCGGTGGCAACCCTTAGGGCTGTTCTGGACGGCTATGGAGGGAAGACAGAATTAGTTAAGACCCGAAGGAGAACACTGGTGAGACCCCAGGCCGAGTCTACCTCACTCCCAGCTTCTGGCTCTTGAGAGCCCAATTTTTTTGCTGCCCTCTGGTGGCTGGGATGGTCTGTCTCCCTTTAGCCCCCTTAGGCCAGAGGCTGCCAAACCATCACCACTGCAAGGAGCGGTTTGCTGTTATCTTGGCAAATGCGGATAATGAATGTTTTGTTATTGTTCAGACATGTGAATGGTGCTAACCTACTACTTTTAGTCAGTACATGAAAAATTAAAAATTAGAAAACCTCTGTAGCTCTTTGTTGACATGCTGATCTTTTCTGAGTCCTTCACCTGGAAGGCCACTTGTGCTCTGAATCCCTTATTCTGCCCACTCCTTTGCCAGAAAAATCTATTTCAGATAAAGCGGATTATTCACACTGAGAAATGCTACTTGCGTCATCAGGAGAACTCCTTTCAGGGGTAGCTTCGGCCCTGAGCAGCCTCCCTTGAGTCTTGAGCTTTCTTTTCCCTTTCCTCTCTATCCCCAGTGTGTCCCTCTCTGTACCTCATCTCCAAGAATTCCATCTCTGCCACTCTGGGGCTAGAGTGAATCCCTTAACACCAGCTCCCACTCTCTGGGATCTTTGTACCCTGACACAGCTTATCATGCCCTCCTTCTCAAAGTTGCTGTCCCTCAGCTTCAAAGGCCCAGGCCCCTCTGGTGCTGCTCCCAGCCATCTGACCCCTCCTGCTTTCTCTTTTGCTGCATCAACTTCAACCTAACATGTCAGGAGAGCTGGGATGTGTGGGGGAGGAGGAACACAGCTCTGCTTCCTATTATATTCCCTGAATATTCCTCAAATCCAGTCTTGGGTCATTTTTTCTCCAAATTCGGCTTCCCTTGGTGATACTATCATTTTGCAACCACCGTGATACAGATGACTAATCTGTATTTTTCATTTCTCGTGTCACACCTGAGTTCCCAATCCCTATTACAAATGCTTATTTCATAAAACCAATTACACTACATCTCAAAGTGAACAAGGCCACATGAGATGCTCATATTTCTCACAAACCTCATACACTTCCACTTTCATCCCTGTTCCAGTTATTAGAACTTTTTCTCAATCTTTTTTCTCTCCTATTTCTTTTGCTTCCAACTGACAAGAAAGCCTGACCATTCTCCTTTCCATTCCCACAGCCTCCACACAAATCCAGACCTCTATCATCTTTTGGGAACTCAGGGACATGCAGGGGGACAAAAAGAATGGGTGTGAGGTGGGGGACAGGATGAGGGAGGAAGAATTTCATTCTTACCAAGGGAGCCCCAGACAGACTTGCCAGTGGCGGCATCCAGCATGGGCTGTTTGCGCGCAATGCTGACTTTGAGCTGCACGGACTCCACCTGGGTCCCGTTGAGCTGGGGCAGAAGAGGGGAGAGGGTAGAGGATGGGAGGAAACATTACAGACAAACCAAAGGAGACTTTCCATGAGTTGCTGAGAATATAATGTTTTCTGTGTAATTAGGGAGAGGCTTTCTGTCGAGGAAATGATTTCCTCCTGGTTCCCAGGATTTTAAAGAGAAAACATGAGGATGGCAGGAGGGATAGGAAGAACAGATATGGGAAGTCCCAACCTCAGCAACAGCCTGATCTGCTGACTCCATCTTTTCATAGGTGACGAAGGCACAGCTGGGATGAAAAAAAAACAGGGTCAGCAGAGCATTTATGGGATGTTCTGGACCCAACCAAACCCAGTGCTCATAGGCCCCTGGAGACAGGTTGGCTTCTTCCCCGAGGCCTCACACCCAGGTCTTCCCAGGACTTATCATTTTGCTCCAATGTAATCCTTACTTTCTGGGTGGGTCCATGGAGAGATCAATGATGTTTCCAAATGGAGAGAAGGCCCCACGGAGGAGGGTAGGTGTCATGTCTTCTCCATACACATAGAGAGTATTCCCCTTCCGAGGGGCCCGGCGTTCAGGGAATGAATCCGACCCTGTGGGGATCACAAGATGGAGCCTGTCTCAACCTCTACTTTAAGAGTCCACTTTAGTTGGAGCCATCTAAATCTTTCCTATCTGAGGTCACTTTCCCCACCAGCCAAGCTAACTCACTACGGAAAGGGCCCTCTCGGTCTCGATCCCGGTCCCGCTCCCGATCACGGTCTCTATCCCGCTCCCGGTCTCGATCTCTGTCTCGATCCCGTTCCCGATCTCTGTCTCGATCCCGTTCCCGATCTCGGTCTCTGTCCCGGTTCCGTTCACGACTGCGGTCCCGGCTGCGGCTTCTGGGAGGGGAGACTGAGGAGCGGGCACCACCACGTTCTTCATAGCCCCAGTCAAAGCTTCGAGGGGGGACATCGCCAGCCCCGGGGCCCTCTGCCTCATCCCCATCTGGCCCCAGTTCCCGAAGCCGATCACTGGAAGACACAAAGCTAGGGGGAGGAAGACAGTGAGAATCAAAGGGGGCCTTTACCTTGTCTTTCCAGACCCTGTGGAGACTCAACACTCTCTCCCTCTGCAGCCCCAGCTCCTTCCACTTCAGCCCAGACCGCTCAAGGACCCATGCAATCACCCTTCTCCACC